ACCTCCTTTTTTGAAAAGATTTCTCTGACAATGACAGGCAGCCTTCTTTTTTCCCCCTTTCTTATTTGATACCATAAAGCATTGCACATAATATATTGAAAATTAAGGTGCATACATTCATGATGTCTCTTGGTCTCAGGCATTGGCCCTGAAGGAAAGAACTTTGGCAATCTTATTTTTTGGTACCAGGAATTGAACTCAGGGGTGCTAACCATTGAGCAACATCACCAGCCCTTTTTTATTTTTTATTTTGAGATAGGGTCTTGCTAAGTTGCTTCGGACCTTGCTTTTCATTTCTTTGGTTGTACACAATGTAGTGTCACACCGTATGTACAATCATACATGTATCTAGGGTAATGATGTCCATCTCATTCCACCATCTTTCCTATCCTCATACCTGCTTCCCACCCCTTCCTTCCCTTTGCCTCATCAAAATTTCTCCATTTTTTCAATGTTCCCCCCATTATGGATCAGCATCCACTTATCAGAACATTCAGCCTTTGGTTGAATGTTGATAAAGAAACCACAGTTTCTTTATCCATTCATCTATTGAAGGGCATCCAGGTTGGTTCCACAGTTTAGCTATTGTGAATTGTGCTGCTATAAACATTGACATGGCTGTGTAACTATAGTATGCTGATTTTAAGTCCTTTGGGTGTAGACTGAGGAGTGGGATAGCTGGGTCAAATGGTGGTAAGTTTGCAGATTTTAAGGAAACATCATCAGCCAGAATAGGTGTGTATCAGAAGGCTCCATTTCTTACCAGACTGAAGAGCAAGGAGTTTACTATAGTAGCTTTGATCTTTAATTTCAGCTGATTGGGTTGATACCAAATTTATGTGGCACATCACTGTGCCCTACATGCCTGTTTACAAGAGCCAGTCCACCCAGACTGTACCTCAGGGATTAGCAGACTATTTTTGGTCAAGATTCAGAATGCATTTGTCTAGCAGATGAACAGCATGACTTCCTCTTGTGTAGGCATACATGTAGGAATGTGATAGTCCTATTTATTAGTTTATGGCATCTTACCAGCACTGGTCTGAACAGTACCCCTTCCTTGTTTCATGTCATTCACTTTTCCCTGCCTCACCATTCTCAGAAGCCATGTGATAGAAAACACCATGTGTATCTTTGTTTTTAAAAAGTGTTTGCAGTACTAGGGATTGAACTCAGGACTCATGCATGCTAGACAAGTACTCTATCTGTGAGTCACATCCCCAAGCCTGTCTGTATCTTTGGCTGATAGATAATACTGTTTTGCATGTGTGTCTTTTTAGTTTACATGTTATAGACCTTTTGGGGGCTTTTTAAAACATATTTTTAAAACTTCTTATTTTAAAATAATTTTAATTTCACAGAAAATTCACAAGAACAATACAAAGAGTAATCATGTATTCTTTATACAGATTTGTGTTTTTCTCCATAAAAAATAATGCATGTGCATTTATATGTATATGTATTTATGTAGATGCACATTGTTATTTTGAGCCCTTTGTGAATAAATTGCAAACATCAAGACCCTCTACCCTTACATACCATAATTTCTGTTTCCTAAGAAGACACTTAAATATACACTATATAAGAAGTCACTTAAATATACACTTCCTAGTTACTAAAATCAGAAAATTGAGTGTCAATATAATATTATTATATCTATAAATTTTATTTAAATTTCACTGTTTTTTTCCCTAGTAATGTCCTTTATGGAACTCTTTCTCCCGCCGCCTCAGGATCCAATCCAGGATTCCATCTTACGCTTAGCTCTTATGTATCTTTGAACTCTTTTTTTTTTTTT